TTTTGATCAGCTTCATATCGGATTATTGATATTGATTATTAATCTGGATTTGACCTTTTTATTTCTGGTTTGGTGGATTCAGATATTCATACTGATGACTTGTCTGACGGATTTCCCGGTGAGTTTCGTTGTTAATCTCGTTGTTGTTTTGTTTTGATTGAACTGAGAGGTTTTGCTGATTGTTTTTGTGTACTGTTAATTTACTTACATTATTTAGAGGAAAATGGAATTGTCGAGTTCTTGTGAGCATTTGTAATTCGGCAGGCTATGGATCTGGTGAATATCGATCTTTCTCCTCTGCATGCATTCTTGACTTCATAAAAAAATAGGTTTCAAGCTTCAGTAACACTGTAAAACATTTCCTGACTAATTTTGATTTGAAATGAATATTTATTGATTATAACTAGAAATTTTAGCTGTCTTTATTTGTGATGAATCTATTTATATTTCTGCAATTGAGCTGTACTCTGTCTATGATTCTTTCTCTGTGTTGTTGTCTTGTAGGCTGTGTATATAATGTGGAGGTCAATCAAGTTTGTAATATCAATCATTATCTTTTACCTGAGTAGGATTTGAGTAGGATTTGAAACAGTGTGAAAATTGAAAATGCTTTTTCCTTCATCAGATTCGACTTTTATAGGCTAGTCTCTGCCCGGTTTTGTATGTATATTCTTGTTCATGTAGTCTTTTGTAAGCTTTATTACTTCAAAGTTTGTGAACTTGTATAAAAGAAAACTCTAGCAGTAGACAGTTTGAGATTCTCCTCGACTCTTGCTCATGAATCTCCTTGACATTGACTCGTATTTCATTCATTTGACTACTTCTAGCCATATCTGAGACATGATCACTTGATCTGGTGGACATTGAACAAAGTCTGTTTGTTTTGTGATCTAAAGATTGTTATGATGTCTAATGTTATGCAGCTCAGTAAGGTTTAGTTGCTAGCGGTAATTGCGTATTCATTTCTAAGGTCGATGGCTCTGTTATAGCAGTCTTTTGGGCAGAGTTCTCACTGTTATCAATTATTTGGATATGTTATAAGTCATAATTGTGAACAAAGAAGGCTGCATTCGAGTGTGAATTTCTTTCCAGCAATTTGAACTATCAACATTTGTAAATCTGATTAAAGCCACAATGTTCCTTGTTGTGAATACAGAAGACGTCATTAAGGCACTCACAAATTCGTATTTATAGAAGCTAGAAATTCCATGTATCTTTTAAAATTACCTAGACATCCTTGAGTTTCCCCTAAATGTGTACAATTTATGAAATATATAAGCATATATCTAGATTTTATTCCCCAAAGACAGCTGGTTTTTCTCTAGTAACTAGGCGAAACCTCAAGGGCAGTTTCTATCAAACTACCCTTTCTGCATGTATTCTTTTCATTCTTCCACGAGCACATGTAAGCATCCATCTAATCTCTAGATGTATTATCAATGGCAGAAATATCAACGGCTCGCGTGAAAAATCTCTATATTCAAGATAACAATGGGAAGAGGTAGAACAAAAGGAAAGAAGCTATTGACTGGTAACCAAGACGATCCAAATAGCGGTGAAGAAGAGAAAATTCCTGCTCAGAGAAAAAGGGGAAGGCCTCAAAAATCACCTAAGGACGAAAAAGATGAGATAAACGAAGCTCAAAAACAGGAAGACGAAGAAGATAGCGAGGATACAAAGAGTGTAACGAAAAGGCAGAAAAGGAATGGGCCCGTCAAGGAGAACGATGACTTGGTGAAGAATGAAAACGAAAATGGAAATGGGAGGGGGCAGTGCAATGAGGTGTCGGCTAAATCCAATGGTTTTCGGCATAGTGGGAGCAGGCGAAAGAACAAACCACGTCGAGCGGCTGAGGCAGTTATCGAGTGCAACTGAATTTTTCCCTCCTCTAACGAGGCGTTGTCTACTTGTCTTCACGACATGTGTCCTTTCTGTTATTCCTTTTCATTTTTGGCACATTTTATTGAATCTTTTGGTTTTGGAAGCTGTATGGAGATATTGGATCGAGACCTGTGGTGACAATGAGGTATTTCTTGTGATGTGGTGACAATGAAGTATTTCTATTATATGGTATGGTTATAAAGGTTGCCCCATAAGGTTTAGCCTGTGACTGCAAAACAGTAACTCCTTTTAAAATTACTGATACATTCTTGGGATGAGTAATAATTTACGGACATTCCCTCGAAATGTATTTGACATTACATAAACCAAATGTGATATATATATATGGATCTTACATAAACCAAATGTGATATATATATATATATATATATATATATATATATATATGGATGAGATCATATAAGAATGGTAAATAGTGAAACAAATAAATAAATATGTACAATTAGATCTATCAATACAACGGTCATGATCAAGTCAAATTTTATTGATGTCAGTCAAACATGTTAGGTGTGGCAATTTCGTAATTGAATGATCGGTATAGGTTGTGACAATTTCCTAACTAAATGATCATATAGTGGTCAAATATAGGCATTTGACCACTCATTAAATAGTACTAGTACAGAGCCCGTGCGATGCACGGGGTGTACAATTTTAAGGCTATTTATCCAGGCTTATAATCATATATATGAGTAAAGATAAATGTACGAGATATATATAGTACGTGACCCGTGCGAAGTACGGGATATATTTATTTGGAGAATATTATATTATAAGATGCAATATTCAATAAAAGTTTATAATACGCAAGAAAATTGTACAATGTTCAATAAAAGTTTTATAATATTCAAGTGGAGTCTTAAAGTCTCTTGTACATTAAGACTACTGACAAAATAATATTTTAATCAATGAGTTTCCTTTTCTTGTAGCCAATTGTGAATCTGATTTGAGGAGTACAACAAATCGATATATAGCTGACTTGCTTTTTTCATTGTAGTTTTTTTTTTCTTTTTTTATTATAATGAATTTAAAGATATTCTAAAATATAGCAAAAATTAATTTTCTTATTACAATTAGGAATTTTACTAAATATAAACTCTCAATCTATGGTGTTAATCAACGTTTAACTCTAAAAAAAATTAAGAAGTTTTACCTCTTTTAATCAACGTTTAAGTCTAAAAAACAATAGAGTTATTATAAGTTTTTTCTACATCTTTTAAAACATTAAATATGAGCATGTTAGGGCTAGCTTGTAAAATAATTAATATATTATCTCACTAAAACATTTATACTAATAAAAATTTAATTTTAGCATATAAATTTATCACTTGATATAAGAGAAAGTAACAGTTTTACTTATTGTTGTTCACCATATAATATTTAACTATTATTTTATTATATAATAAAAAAGGAGTATTGTTAAATAGTGTAGTAGAATTGTTATAAAATTATATATTATTTTTTTTACAATATGGATTTAATATTTTTTTTTTGATTTGATAATATAAACAAATCTATACTTAACTTTGACAAATAAAACAAATAAATACTTTAGTAAGTATTTAATGTATATACTAAATAGGAATATATTTGGTATAATCAAATACCAAATATAATCAAATAAGTCAAAGTGTACATTTTATTTGGTATTTGATTTATTAAAATCTTTTTATTATACTTACTTTTTTAAAATAAAACAAATAAATAAATCAATTAAATAAATAAAATATTATAATATCAAAATAGTAATGGCATTTAATGCAGTTGACTTTTCTGTATAGTAAATGTAGTAAATAGAATCTCCTTTTATATAAGTATAGATTGTATAATACGGAAATAGTAATGCAATAAATGCTATTGACTTTTCTGGCTACTTAATTTGGTAAATAGGACTCCCTTTAATATAAGTATAGATTTTAGTCATTATACAATAAATTTCAATCACATAGTGAACCTCACCCCAACTACCAACCTAATTTCATTCTCTCTCACATACTCACACAAACTAACACACACTAATGTCACGTTGCGTGCATACACACATGTCAAACAATCTGTCTACGGGCGACACCTCAGACTGCCGCTAGTCGCCGGCCGCTCGCGCTATCTCGCTGTCTATCTCGTAGGGCGGCACCCTCTCCGACACAGACATGTTACCTCTGCACTCGTCGCCGCCTCGTCCCTTGACATCACCAACCCACACCAGACCACCGAAGCAGTTATCGACCTCCGTTGGATCCCGCCAAACACCCAGGTACACCGTCAACCGTTCGCCACGACGAGCCACGTCGAAGTCTCAGCCTGTCGCCACCATCAGTAGGACATCGCCGACCACCTCGATGCAGCCCCTGACCTTCACACCTAACGCGAGATATTCATCCTCCTGACCGTAGTTGTGGAAAACATCCTCGTCGTATGTGGAGCCGGAGGGTCATGGTGGACCCGATGACGGCAGCCGAATATTGCGTCGAACCTCTGTCACGGTGGTCGACGGCGGCGGAGAGGACTGTGACTTAGGAGACGGGAGTTTTAGTTTTTTATAAGGGACTTCATCTTGTGAATTTGATAAGTCACAAGGACTTGATTGCAATTTTAAAAATTTTAATTTATTACAATTTAGTTCATTTGTCAAATTTATAATTAATCAAGCTATAATTAATATTTTAATATTTAGTTGAAAATAAATAATATGTTACATAAATATATACAAAGAATGATAATAGTAATTTTTATTTAGTTTGGATGTCCGGTAATTTCGGTTACATAGATTAAAAAAAAAACAACATCAAACTTAAATATTCGAGTTATAAGAGTAAAGAAATCAAACTAAAAAAATTAGTTCGTTTGGTTTCGTTTGATATTGTGCAATCCAATAATCGCTAATGTGCAATTCATACAATTTGAATGTGCACCCGCTATACATAAAAATTTGAATAATAATAATAATATTTTTTATAATGAGGTCGATTCTGTAAAAATATCTATATATAATTAAAATTTTGCATAACTGACAAATAATAATATATATCTATCTAGGGTCGCGCTCCGGTGAGAATGGTGCTTAATGAAAGAAATAAGAATACATTGTAGCCATTAGATCACATGATTCAACAGCTTGTAAAATACAAAAAAATACACCTTCATTAAGGACATTAAAGTAATTTTTACACTACAATCAAACAACATTAAATATGGCTGCCACCTAACCCTACCCACTAGTCACCCAACCACCCCACTTACCCCTCTCTCTCTCTCTCACGCACACACAACATATATACACTTTCACCGCCCCACCATTAGACCGACCACCGACGGCCATCGCTTCAGTTCCGGCGGCCGTCGCTCCGTGTCTATCCCCGTCGCCGGACGCGGCACATGATTACTGCACATCATCTGTCGACCATGTCCGGCGCCGTCACCGGACGCGGAACAAAAAACGCGGACAGACTGCCGCAAAAAAGACTCCCCGGCCGCTCACTCACCGGCGTTTGCCCATCGATGGCGGCGGATACTACAACAGCAACAATCGACTACGGTGACATGCTCCAAAGGTCTAGCCTCCCCGTCGACTGCCGGCGAGCCGTTCAGGTATATCTCCCCTGTTCGCTGGTCTACACGACACAAAATCGGCGAGCCATCGCGTCACCAGTCCACTTAGGGCGACTGGTCGGAGTCACGCCGCCGCGCACGAGGTGAGCCGAACAGCGGTTGTTTTTTAGTTGGGGGAGGGGGATGACGAATATGTTTGATGTAGGTGTCGGATGGATTGATGGACTTGGGACTCGACGGCAGGATATTGCTCGGGAAGAAATCAATGGAATGTTATCGGCGACGAGATGAAATGGAATTTTTGGATTTGGCCGGAAAAGGAGATGAAATTGAGGGTTTGGTTTTGGCTGGGAAATCATTCAATTTGGGGGTGGGTTTTCTTTTGAAAATTAGATATTTTTTAAGGTCCTATTCATAATTTCTTGAAGTTTGATTATATTTCAATTTAGGTAAAGGGTTAAATCTGCAATTTAGAATAAATGTATAAAGAAAAGATTATGTTTATATATTTCTTTATACATATATATTAAAATAGTAAATAAATATTAAATAAAAATATTATAAGATATCAAAATAGCATTGGACATAAAAAATCATTTCGACTATTTAAATTACACATTATAATAAAATCTTATATCAATATTGATAAAAATATTAAAATACTAAAATTATTTTTTATAAAAAGTATCTGCAATTTGAATGCACATTAATGATAGACATATTGCACATTAGCAACTAAGGGGGTGATTGTTTATGGATTCAACTAGTTTTTATTTGGTTTGTTTTTAACTATAGTTAATTTTGGAAAAAAGAGGTATGGTTAGTTGTTAGTGGATATATATAAATAATATTTAAATAAAATAATTAAAGTTGATTTGATGTAAAGTAGGAGAAAAATGATTGGAAGTGATGGTTAGTTAAAATTATGTGAGTGGATGAATAGTGAATTAAAGTTGATTTGATGTGTAAGAATGATTGGTTGATATTATTTAATTATATTGGTAATATGAAGATAGTGAGATTGAGTTAAAGTTGAGTTAAATTTGAGTTTTGATTGGATTTTTTACTATTCAATTTATATCCAATCGCCCCCTAAAAGATTGCACATTAATGACTAACATGTTGAACTATAGAGTTCGAAACAACAAAGTTTTGGGTTCGAGTATTTAAATTACATTGTAATAAAAAATTATATAAATATTAATAAAAATATTAAAATACTAAAAATATTTATAAAAAAAATATTTGCAATTCGAATGCACATTAATAATAGACAGATTGCACATTAGCGGCTAACAAATTGCACATTATTGACTAACAAATTGCACTATAGAGTTCGATACAACAAAGTTTTGAGTTCGAATTTTTATATTTTGGTTCAATTATTTGCTTTTCATTTTTAAAATTTTGGTTATCTCAATTCAATATTAGCTTTATTGTTTTAAATAACTGGCCGATAGAACTGTAAAAAAATAAATGTTATTTTGCTATATAGTCTCTACAATAAAAAAAGGAATATTAAATAATAAATATATTTTCATAACATAAATTATAAATTATTTAGATTAATTTAGTTAGCCGGTTAAATAAACCGATTATTTCAGTTTTTAGTTTGGTTTGTCTAAAATCATTAAAAACACTATAGTTCGAGTGCACAATAGTGTTAGGTAGATTGTACATGAGTGACTGATAGATTGCACTATATCGACAAAAAAATCTACAGAACTAGATTCATTGAAAATTCATGCGATTCGAACAGTGATAGACAAATTACACATTAATGACTATCATATTGTACAAATAACGATCCAAACTGAATAGATTAAAATTTCGATTTGATATTTTATATTTCAGTTCGATTATGTGTTTTTACTATCAAAGTATCATTTATTTCGGGATGATGTCTTTTTTTTAATAACCAAACTAACTGAACTATATAAAATATTATTTTATATATATATATACATATTTTAGAATTATATTTTTTCAACCATAAACAAAATACATGATATTAAATATAACTATAGAAAACTTAATATTTTTTTATAATATAAAAAATATTGTATTTCAAATATTTTTGGTTAATTTGGTTAAAATATCTGGAAAAAAAAATACAGGTAATCCGACTCAATTTTAATTTGATTTGGGACAAAAGTTCGGTCAGTTCAGATTACACGATAACCACATGAACCTTGCGCAATAGTGATAGTCGAATTGCACATTAATGACTGTCGGATTGCACCACAACAATCAATTAAATTTATTGGTTTGAATTCTCATATTTCAACTTGATTATCTATTTTTACATTTAAATTTTGATTGTTTCGATAAGGTGTCGACTTTATTTTTTAAATAACCAAACTACCCGAACCGAATAAACAATGTATAAATACTATTATTGTTGTTGTTGTTATTATTATTATTATTATTATTATTATTATTATTATTATTAATCTAATTACTAATTATGTGTACTTTTAAATTTTTAATAATTACCAATTTAACACATGGACTCAATTGAAATAAACTTAATTTTCTTAATTTGCACACATGCCCCTAGAAGATATCTAATTTCCTAAATCATGCCCCCCATCTCATCCCCGCAGGCCCACAATTCACAACCTTCACCCAAACAGTCGCCGGTCTGAAAAACGTGAGGATGACCATCAATCGATCCCGGCGACGGCGACGGCAACGGTGGAATGAAATCGATCACAAAGCTCAAATTGAATACAGAAATATGAATCTAAGTGTTTACAATTGGGGCTCAATATAGGTATTCTACATTTCGCGAGCGGACGAGTGGCGGAGGAGAGCAAACGGTGTGTGATTGCGACTGTGATGGCGAAGTCCGGCGACGACATTCAGAGACGGAAGAAATCGTCGGGAAAAGCTGGTTCGCCGGCAGCGACGAGTTCCATGGCGGGGGTCGTGATGCTGAGGAGGATGTGACGTCGACGTGGAACGAAGAGTTCTGCTGTCGAGGGGGGGCGTGGTTCCACTGTCAACCGCCGTCGTGAGGTTCCGTGATCGACGGTGCGAGAGAGGGGGAGATAGATGGGAACGAGAGAGAGATACAGATACACAGGGAGAGAGGAGAGAGAGAGAGTGAGAGGGAGGCAGATCGATATTGGTAGGGAGAGAGGAGAGAGAGAGAGTGAGAGGGAGGCAGATCGATATTGGTGTGTGTGGGCCCAATGATAGATGTGTAATGTCCATATTATCCTTAATTATTGGTCAAATGTCTACATTTGACCACAATGTATGTTAATTTACCATGTTGTCATTAATGATTGACTAAATTTTGACTTGATCATAACTATTGATATGATAGATCCAGTGGCACATATTCATTCTTATTTCTTTCACTATCTACCATTCTCTTAACTATCTATATTGTTTATTCTCAGCAAACTATAATATGAAAAAATTAAGAAAATATTAAAAATGCTAAATATATTTTTATTATATAAATAATTTGATAATTTCAACAATGTGCACCCGTTATGCAATTTTTTTTTCATTATTTATCGTTATGTTAAGTCATTCTTTTTGTAAATAAAGCTTAATTCGAACAAAAATCACTGAATTTTTAATTTTTGTGAAAAATGCACAGTAGGATAACATCTTTTTTTGTTGTAAAAAAAGAAAACATTATTATGCTACTGTGCAACATCACATACAATAATATAAAGATTGTCTGACAATAATGTGCATTATGTGTCTCATGTATTTTCTAATGTGAATTTATTAAACTTTTAAAAACTACAAATTTACCCAAGAAGAACTACAGTGCTCACCAACCAATATGCCTTTCAAATTTTTGGCTGAAATCTAAATCGAAACATTGGTTTAGTTTTTGCAAATTATAAAGGAAAAAAAAAAAAAATTCTGAAGTGTGTTCACAATTGCCTTTGAATTTTTATTATTTCTTCATTATTTATATATTAATTTATTCTCCCCATTAAATAATTTTATGCCCAACTGAGGTAACACATTTTGAGATCATAGATTGAAAAAGCTCCATCATTACACGCTAAACCAACTTCTCAGCCACACAAAACACCAAACCAAATACAATCCATCTAATTCCCATCCCAATAAAAACCATCGAATCAACAATTCCCATACTAACAGAATCAAAACAGATTTTTTCACAAAGCAACTTAAGCAAAACATGAAACCATGTATGGCAGACGTCAAGCTCGCTCGCCTCTGATCCTCCTAGCCAGTTGGATATCCTTGGGCATAATCGTCACCCTCTTGGCGTGAATTGCGCATAGGTTAGTATCCTCAAACAGACCCACCAAGTAAGCCTCCGCCGCCTCCTGCAGCGCCGCCACAGCAGAGCTCTGGAAACGGAGATCAGTCTTGAAGTCCTGGGCGATTTCCCTTACCAGTCTCTGGAACGGAAGCTTCCTGATCAGCAGCTCCGTGCTCTTCTGATACTTGCGGATCTCACGGAGGGCCACCGTCCCTGGACGGAAGCGGTGGGGCTTCTTCACTCCTCCGGTCGCCGGAGCAGACTTCCTTGCAGCCTTGGTCGCCAGCTGCTTCCGTGGCGCCTTCCCGCCGGTGGATTTCCTCGCCGTCTGCTTGGTGCGGGCCATTTGATCGGCAAGTTGTTGATTTTATTAATCTGAACGATTATTTCAGAGAGTATTGTGAATTTAGAAGATTGATTGTGATGTGTAGATGGGAATTTGAGCGGAAATTTATAGGATTTTTGTGGGAAAATCTGAAGTGAGAAAATTTGGGGGTTCAAAATTTTTCGTTTTCGGGGAAATGAAGAAGCTTGGGAGCCGTTGATAAGATGAGGAATCGACGGTGAGGGCTTCGTTGGAAATGGTTACTTATCAGGATCCGGAGCTTCATCGGATCAGCCAATGAGATGGCGCAAAATTGATGATGTTTGGGAGAATTTAAGCCGTCGATTGAGATATATTTGATGGTCCAGATTTGCACATATATGTGTGCTAAAGGGACAGTGCCGAATTCAAAGCTTCAAGTTCAAACAAAATCAAAGGACTACAAAAGTTAAGTCAAAGCCCAGTCAAGTGTTTTCGAGCATGTGGATAGCCCATTACCAAAAAATAAATATTGAGACGGACTTATGTTGCGCGTATTGATTGTAACATTTTATCAATAAAAATATGTACTTGTGATTATAAAATATTATATTTTAATTTATATTATTTTTAATATATCACAAATGTTAAAGTTACCTAAGTATTAGGTCGGTCTAACATCCATTTTATTATTTCATTTAGGATGTATTTAAATTGAGGGATTTAACTCTATATATTTCAATTTTTCGAGTTCAAATATGACAATAGAAATGAAGAATTTTAAATTTAGCCTAAAAGAGTTATTTGATAATAGAAATGTAGAATTCAAATTTATCTTACAAGTCCAATAGATTTTATTCATAGTGCAGAGGGATTTCAAGTAACTTTTCGACCTAGTCATTCAAATGTACTCTCATTTCAGGGTGGCATTATCGGTCCAACCGATATTATCGATCCAACAAAATAGACCGACTCGTAGCCCGCCATCTTGGGAACTCATATTTTACTCATTGCAGGATGGAATTATCGATCCAACCGTTTTTCGGTGAAAAATGTGGTCAAATTATGTGTATTTAATGAGGAGTCTGAACTCAAATTTTACTCATATTTTCTTTTACCCTAAAATCTTGTTCTCATATATGATCATTATGCCACTTATGCATGCTTTTTGTACCTATGTTTGAGTAGCATAGTACATCTGTCATTACTATTTGATATTAGTTTGTGCTGGGAACTTTGATGTTTTATTTTATTCAACTCATTTGAAATTTTATATTATTGTTATTGAGTTGTTCTTATAATAATGAATTGTTTATATCTCTCTATATGTCAGATTGAGTCTTGAATTAATGTACACCCTTATTGGTAAGATGTGACCGAAGTAAATTCATAATTATTCATCTTATGCTATATTGCGCCCCATGAAAAAAAGAAAGTGAGTTTGTCTTATAATGACAATGTGAAGAACATATTTCGATTGCACGTATGTTGGAAAACAAGCATTGTTATTATTTTTTTTCCCCAAGTAAATCAACGCATAAAAGACTCACAAAACCAGAACAACGATAAGTTTTCAAATCACACCGAATTTCGTTTACCGGAAAATCCCAACGCCCACCATGCATGTTGAACACTGGTACGATACATCTTCAACCCAAAACGGCAGTTGATATAAGTAATCAACCAAAAGAAACTACCCATGCCTCAGTTCAATCACATTTCTTTTCTTTTTATATTTCCCTGGAATAATCTATATTTTGTCGAGTTTTTCCGCCTTAACAACTGGATTGGCTCTTGCAATCTCATCCTTGCCAGCAGCCTGGTAGTCAAACGGGCAGTCGTGCTTGTCAGAGTAGTAGTGGGCCCCACAAAAGAGGTCCCCGCACTTGCACTTGAAGCCCGTGAGCCCGACCCGTTTACTGCATGAAGTGCACCTATTTGGGGCCTCCATTCTCGTCTTGTTAGCCTCAATAAGCTTCGAATTACCATCATTGCCCTTTGACAGGCCAGGTGTCGAGATAGATTCCTTCAATTTGTCGGGCCCGGGCTTGGGATTTTGGAGGATGGGAGTGGGGAGTGGGCCCCCGTTGATGATGATTCCTTCGATGGATATTGAGATGGCTTTGGGCAGTTGTTGTTTCAAGATTGTGTCTTTGTAGCATTTTGAGCACATGTTCATGTTTGTTGGGCTGCCAAAGAAGCCGCAGTTGTTGATGCACAAAATAGGGCCTTCGGGAGGAGGCTGACATCCCATCTTGTCGTGTTCCATCTTGCGAAACCCCTTTTTTTCTTGTTTTCTTGAGCTGTAGATGCTGAAAGCAATGTATTGTATAACATGATTTTGGATTTCTTTTTGTTTTTTTGGAAACGCAATCTAAAAAATGAAGAATATTTCTGATAGCTAGGAACATTGATGTTTTCTAATTTTATTCATCACCTCCCAATATATTCTATGTCAGCTATTTTTCAGAGATGCGTTTTTAGGAAGCATGTGTTATGAAAGCAATACTTGTTGAAAACTAATGAAATGGAGCTATAGCCATCCTTAATTAAACAAACTGAGCATGAAAAAAAACTAATGAGGTTGAGAATTCGAAAGATAACCAGCAATACTCATAAGGTTACCGTATGAGCTAATCAATAGGAGCAAATTTCTTCAAACAATAGCAAATTCATATCCAAACTATTGCAAAAGGTTGAATCTTTGCACCGAACAAAGAGTCTGTTATTGAATCTTTACAACACAAATGCTCGAAACACAGAATTTCACAATTAATTCACACATCGAATTCCTAAATATCACTAAAATTGCAAAAATTGAATCTTTACAACACGAATGTCCGAAAGACATAAATTTTACAATTAATCTATATATATATATAATAAGAATTAACATTTATCAAAATTAGTAGATCAATTTATGGTCAAAGTCTGATTTGCATTAATTATTTTCAAAAAACGGTAAGTTTTATATCCTTTTCACACGCCTCATTAATTACACCAAATTAATTATCATAAAATCATTCCATATGAGCTGTTTTTGTTACACGCCATTGCATTAATTTTGGCCTAATAAATAGCGAGCATTAACTGCAACAGATAATATGGAATAAATCCTTCTTTCATGTCACTGCATTAATTTTTTCACAATTTGGACTCAACTTTTTCCTTTTTTGTGGAGGGATTTATTTCATTGTATATGATTGATGCAAATCATTTTTTATGGAATCCAAATCCGTACAATACACGTATATCTTTTGTAAATCTGCCAAAAATAATTTAATATATACTGGTATAAATCTATTGAAAATAATTTAATACATACTGGTATAAATCTACCAAAAACTAATTAAAAATTAATTTAATATATAATGTATCTATACTTATACAAAGAGGCCATCCCATTTACTAGAATTAGTAGGAAGAAAAGTCAAAGGTAATTAATGGATTCTATTTCTATCAATTAATTTTTATTTAATTGTTTTTCACATAAAATCGGTACAAAAAGAAATGTACGTAAAACAAAAAAAAAAGGTAGATTTGATCGGATGATAAAATCATGATTTTACTAAAAATAAATCAGATGTCAAACCTAAATTGAAGGATTTGGTTGTCTATATAGATATTGATTTACGTAAATCAATACATTTAATATTTATAATTTGTGTAGATTTAAAATTCCTTCTTATCTTTGTACAAAAAATCTTATCTAATTGTATGAAAAATATGATCTGATTTGTTCCTCTACATATAATGTGATTTCCGTATATCAACATTTTTTCTTAAAAATCTTAACAGATATTGATTATACTCTAATAATTATAAATTATAAATATCAAAATATTGAGCCATCGTCCCTTCACTTTCAACCTCCTGCGAAAAAAATATCCCCAATCAGTCCTTCATTCAAAACAATGAATCAAGGATTTGGCTTGATCAAATAAGTTAATAAGTCTAATAGACCTATGCTTAAAGTTTGAATTGTAAGAATGTTTTCACAAGACTGGGGCAGCACGTATAAATCCTATCTCGAGTTGGTTCTGCACGATAAAACTGTAAGCCAAATTATTTTTACTTCTGTTTTTTTATTTCGAAATATGAAACATATATTTTTTATTTTTTTTATTTTATTTTTAAAATTTAGAATTTGCCTTATTTCTTCTAGAGATCGTGTATATATTTAGATATTTACATTATTTATGTTTTTTAAACAAATTAATTTATTATGATTGCTTTTTTGTACATGTTTAGTTTGTGAGAATGACAAGTTGTCCAATAATCAAACTCATAATGTTGTGTATAAGGAGATCTTTAATAATATATGATTGTTTCTTTGTCAAATACTATCTTATTGTACAATTTTCCTACGTATCATAAAACTTTTATTTAATATTGCATCTTATAATATAATATTCCCCAAATAAATATAACTCGTGCCTTGTCACGTACTATATATATCCCATACATTTTTCTTTATTTATGTATATATTTATCAGCCTGATAAATAGCCTTAAAATTGTGCACCCCGTGCATCGCACGGGCTCTGCACTAGTTTTCAACAATAACATCAAATTCATAAATATCCAACACAAAGGGACCAACCAAATAAATCACAAACCAGCTTGAAAAAATATAAAAAGCCCACCATATAAAACAGGAGGGGAAAAATAAAATAAAAGTCTAAATCATAAAGATCAAGACCATAATTCAAGGAAAAATATATAAATAAACAGATAACTAAGAATTTCATCAATTCAGGAATAACCCCGACAAACAAAAAATGAACAAAATCATATATCATATCCACAGAAATCAGATTGATGCGCGTATAAATAAATGATCAAGGCATCAAATTCTATTTCATTTGTATTCTTTTCAAAAAAATCAGAAATGAATCAGGAAACTAACCTTATACAATTCACAAGATCAGACTCAAAAAGGAGCAATTTTTCGCATCCCTGACGAAGACCCTTTCGATTTATCAGCAAAACAAACTGAATCAAGAAATGTTAATATGCCACTAATTTATTTAACTAATTATCAGACTTCTTTTCTCATTTGATTTTTTTCCTGATTACGAGATGGAAGGAAAAGGAGTCTTTGGCTGTTAAATATAAAAGATTTTCTATCTAATAACGACACCTTTTTTCTTGATTAAAGTGAAGGCGTGGCCATTTCTTGTATCGTTGAGGTTCGACTTCCAAAATCTACCCCTAGATTTGTTGTCATTTTCTCGTGTCTGCTTTGGAAAATTCCAATGGCAATTTCGTCAGGTTAATATGAGTCGCTCGTGTTAGTGGCGTATATCTATTACTATATAATACTGAGAAGAAAAATTATTTGAATAATTCGAAAATAATCATTTCGTTTTCCCGCTTCAATATAGTGTTTTTCCCGCTTCTTCAATTCGTAAGATTTTTTTTTGAATTTTTTCAGCCCATGCAATTAGGTAACCAATCAAATCGAATCTTTTAGCATTCAATTTAGTAAGGTGTTCCGATTTTAGCATTCAAATCCGATTTCACTTCCTTTTTTTATGCCAATCAATCCGATTTTTTTGGTTGTTTAAAAATTTGTTTAGATTTATATTTTTATTTTATTTATATATTTGAAATATAATCAATAAATGTTTATCATAACTTTTATTTTAAAAATCTATACTTATATAAAAAGACATCATATTTACTAGAAATAGTAGGCAGAAAAGTCAAAATTAATTAATGCTTGCTGAAAATAGAATTACATTAATTACAGATTTATTTTAGTATTTATAGTCTTGACATTAAAGATTTGTTATGGGATAAAAATTAGAACCGATTTTTTTACATTTGCTGGAAAAGTCAAAGGTAAGTATATATTTGTTTTATCCCATAACATCGGTTTAGTTAAAAAAATCCCATAAGATCATGATTAAAATCATAATAAAAATCATGATAATATAGATAAATTTTTTTAATCCAAAAAGAGTTTAAAAATGCAAATATAGATAGATTTTTTTAAGAGAATTTAAACGATCTTAAGATTCCCATACATATGAAAAGTGTATGCATAAAAATCTCATTTTTATGAACATATATCATATATATGAGAAGAAAATTATGTTTCTTTTCATGGGAGGTAACTAAGTTTTCAATGTTTCAATATATATACAAAATTTTAATTAAATTTCTAAATAAGTTAAAAGTTTTCAATGTTTAAACTAAATGATAAATGATTTATAAATCTACATTTTATTTAAATATGTATTTTTATTTATATTAAAAATAATTTTAAATGTAACAAAATTTATTTCAAAAATATCGATATTTTCGATGGACTGGTGTTGACCGGTTTGCTAGCAAACATTTTATTCAAGCGAACCGGACTGGTCGATAAACCAATTCCCTATCTATTCGGTCAGAGTACTGTCTGGTCTGCTCCAATTTTAAAAACAATGGGTAAATCATGATTAATATTATGTATATATTTAATTTATAATACAATCGTAATATTATTTCCCCGTGCATTGCACGGGCCACGTACTAGTAAATTTGAATAAGCATACCTTTTACTTTATATGAAATTCAAAATTACATATTTTAATATATTAATAAATGTTTAATATTTATTTTTTCCTTATGTGATATAATAGAATTTCGGTATTAAATTTGTAAATTCAAACATTTAAAGGAAAAGATTCCAAACAATTTTTTTGGGTAAATTTCATTTTATCTTGGTTTTCATTATCACATTTCTAACAAACTAATTAGTATTATATTTTTTTATCTACATTATCTAACCGATTTTGTATGATACAATTAATATAATATCTTAACAAATTAATCATTTGTCTAATCTGATTTATCTCTCTAACAAACTTGCCAATTTTTTTTAAAATTAAAATGGTATGATTATTCTTATGGAGATACTTATCAATATATTAAATATTTAGAAACTTTTTTTAAAAAATGAGTTATCCCTCCTTTTACTTTATTTGAAATTCTGACTTATATTTTAAATATATTATTATTTATTTCTTTACATGTAAATATTTATTATTTATTATCTAAGTGATAAATATTATTGATTTATCTCTTTAATAAATATTTGTTATTTATTTTTTTTCCTTACGTGATATAATGTAAATTTGGTTACTAGATTTTTAAATTCAAACATTTAGAAAAAAACCACAAACAAATTTTTTGGTTACATTTCATTTTATTTTAACTTCCATATAATCACAATCCTAACAAACTAATTAGTATAATATTTTTTTACCCATTTTTATATAATTAGATTTCTTAAAATATAATTAATATAACATTTTAACTATTTAATCATTTGTATAACTTGATTTAACTCATTATCAAACTTGCCAATCTTTTTTTTTTTAAATTAAAAAAATTTTGGAAGATTTTTATTTGTAAAATAATAAAAAATAGTTTTACTTTAAAGTCTGGATTATTTCCATTATTTTTTGTACGTTAACAATCATATTTTTGGATTATTGATTTAAAAAAACAAATCAAAACCGTAAGGTTTAATAATATTCCTTAAATAAAAAAATTGTATAAAGAAAAGTATTTAATATTATATATTATTCATTGATTGTATTTATTTTATTTTCATAATAGACGGGATGCGAAAAATATAAATAATTATATTTAAAATAAAGTCTAAAAAATGTTTAAAATATGAACTCTTCCGTGCATCGCACGGGATATACACTAGTTCTAACCAAAATAGAACCCCTTAAAATTAAATATTGACTAGTACAATACCCATGAGTTAAAGAAATATATAATAAAAATTATTACTTAAATAAATTTTTTATTTAAAATTTTGGTGGATTAATTGATGAAAAACAAAGAGGAATAAACAATGAGAAAGTAATTTATAGATCGTAATTTATAATTTATGAGATAAATATGAGAGAGAATGATAATATGATAAGATTACTATTTGTCTAAATTAAGAAGGGAATGTGTACCAAGAGAAAAAAAACAACACAATTAAATATACACTTATCAAGTTTGAAAAAATTATTTATGTCTAATACTAAACCTAACTCCAAAGCAAAAATGAATATATAAACAATATTACGAAGTATAGATTTTGGTCATGTCAACATCCGAAGTATATGATTCTGCCATTTAAGCTCAACATGTTTTGAATTAATATATAGAGAAGGATATGTATTCTTAATGACCAGATTTTTTTTTTAATAATACTAATCCACCTTTAATTTCATAGGACCGATATGTAGATTGTGTTTTTATATCCGAATACACTAGTTNCTCGAAATAATGGAATGTATTGTTCAAAAGGGTACTATACAAGATATAAATCATTGGCCCCACTATACCATAAAATTAAGGAAAAGCACTAACAGAGGTGTTCTAGATTACAACTACACCAAAGGAAGAAGGTACCAAACTACTGACAGTGCATATGTGCGCTGAAACCGTGAGTTGTACACCTAATCCCACACAAAAGCAACAAAACACCCTCAAGAGGCGAAAACTACTCTAACTAGTGGAGACTCTACTCCAACAAGTGGAGATGGAACAAAAACAACTAAACGCACACCTAAACTAACTATAAAGTAATACCTCTCCTATTCAATGCCGACAATCAGAAAAGATTGGAAAGGGCTGAGGCGCTACTCAGAACTCTGCCACCAGTCATAGTACAAGTCATAAGTATTCATATAAAGGTGAAGACGCACACAAACCAAAACCGCGACAGAACAATCCATGGACGGAACCTAAAGAGCTACAAAAACGAATTTTAGAACTAAAAACTCCACCGAAGGATTAGCGAAAAATGACTAGAAGATTGTCCTAAGTCCACAATTGAGCTCTTCGCCAAACAGAGAAAGAAGAGGCACAAGGGGCTCGGCTTGATCAATTGCGTTGAAGAAAACCACACCCACTTCACTCGGAGGATGACCCGTCGGCTAAAGAGCCAACCGGACCACCGGCTACAGGGCCAACCGGGTCAGCCGCTAAAGGGCCAATCGGGCTGCCCCGTTCCTGAACAGAGACGATGCATCGGCCTCGAGGCAACAACCTTATTCAATAAATACAATTAAAATTAAAATATTTTATTACCAATCACCGAAAATTTTTTTTCTCCTTAAACCCTCTCTAGAATTTTCCGCCACGTCTCCAATGGCGGCCAGATTCTCCTCGCGCTTTCTCCGCCGCTACCTCCTCCGCCACCACTTCACCTCCGCGAGCGCGGTAATCACCGTACCAAAATCCCACCCCTTCGAGCGTACCGTCCTCAGTTGTCACCGATCCCCGTCCTTCACCCACCCGCAGCACCCATTCCTGCGCTTTCTCTCCACCCGATCACCCCGCCCGACCCGATCCAAGCCTGACGTCGGCGCTCGCGCCCGCCAGATGCAGACCCGCCGCCTCTGGACCTACGCCATAACGTTCAGCTGCATCGCGGGGTTCATAGTCATCGTCATCAACCAGTTCCAGGACCAGCTCGTCTTCTACATCACCCCCACCGACGCCCTGCAGAAGTACAATTCCGACCCGACCAAGTCCAAATTCCGTTTAGGCGGCCTTGTCCTCGAGAACAGCTATATCCAGATTCCTGATTCACCGGAATCCCAATTTGTAATTACCGATCTGATTACGGACATTTTGGTCAAATACGACGGCAGCTTGCCAGATCTGTTTCGAGAGGGCCACTCGGCAGTGGTGGAGGGGTTTATCCGGCCCGTGGATGATGGAGTACGGAAAAAAGAGGAAATTGCCCTTAGTAACAGCAGCAAATTTGGGGTAACCGAAAAGGCTAGGAGCTTGAATTGCTATTTCGCAGCCACTGAGGTTTTGGCGAAGCACGATGAGAAGTATATGCCTGCTGAGGTGGCGGCTGCAATCGAGAAGAACAAGAAATTGCTTGAGGAGAAGGAGAAAAATTCGGAGGAGGCTTTGGCTAATGCTGGTTCAAGCAGTATTCCCCCAGTTGCCAAGGCTTGATTTTGCACTTTCGATTCGGTAACATTTTTCTTGTCGCTTCGAAAATTTTTTGATGGAATTTTGTTAGTTCAGTAATATGTTTTTACTTTAATACCCCATGAAGAATTTGATTTATAGTTTATGCGCATTGGGTGGAGGTCTGAGAGGAGAGTGATTGAGCCAATTTTGTATTTGGTGTAGTAGTAATTGGATTTTGGATGGTGTTTTTAACTGAAGAATAATTTGTATTAGTCCCCTGATAATGGATTGGGATTTTTTGTGGATGGTTTACGTGATAAATTACCAAAATAAATAAATTGCAAATGTTTTTGTTAATTCCACTATAGAGTAAAGAGTTTTTGTTTTGTGATTCCCTGTTTCGTTTATGATGAATCATGCATACATTTTCTCGTGATCATAAATTGTATTGTGCAGATTGTTCTCATTTGTGATGTGCTTCTCGTTTTTCACAAGTTCTATTTATACACCACATCTTCTAACTACAAAGCACATTGTTGTTCGTTGTAAATTTGTGAAAGAAATCATGGCATTCTTACGATTAATATCAAAGGCACATCACATAGCAGACTTGTTTTATTATGATATGGTAACAACATTCTAAATATACCATCATAAGCTGCAGAAATTTTATTATCATTGAAGTATGACATTCTCTTTCTTCACTCCTTGACATAAATAACTGGATCGAGAAGTATAGGAGCAATACTAGGATCACCCACAATGACATCCAGAACATCAGCCTCACCATCCCCCAAATAAGCTTTAAGAAATGCAACCATAACTCCCGCAACACTTCTCCTCATACTATCCCTAGAGCCTGTCCCACTCTTGACCATGCTTCTTAAAATCGACGCAAGAAAACCTAAGTTGTCGTTGAGCATGTCACAATGGCCGTAATTCTTGGCTAGAAAATAAGCGACAGGTGGCTTGCTCTCATTGAAAAACTCTGCATGATTGCAACCATTGGGGGCGGCTGGTGGAATTAACCCGAGTGGCTGGCTTCCATAGCCAGTGCCGATTATAGAAATGGGGATCACTATATCAAATGCACGGGGGATGTATTGGAGGATCTTAGGGTCGGGCAGTAATGAGGGGGACGAGCCTGCCACAGGGTCGACTCCTATTAGGGCCTTGAAAGTGGGGTTTGGTGTGTTTTTATGTGATTTTTTATCGAAATTTTCTCCCAATGCTAAGGCGAATGCGGATTTGCCACCTCTGCTATGGCCCGAGAGAGCTAGTTTTTCTATGTCTCCATCGACACTTTTGGGCAGCACGAGTGGGAGTCCCGTGGATAGCCAGTTTGTGACCTGAGAGGCTTGCTTGACTTCCTCAGGGATTGAGCATGGAAAATAGCCATAGAACTAAAGAAAATAAAATTATTAAAATATAAAAAAATAAAAAGAAAAGGTCATTTTTGATAGATGTATATAGATGAGATTTCAGGGTATGAATGGGTTTTTCTAATCATTTAGTTGCGTACTGGGTATATCTAGTCATGTATATGTATGAGTGTGCGCGTGCGCTAAAACTATAGTCTATAACAATGTGTTCTTTTTTGTTCGTTAATTTATTTTCCACTTGGTTTTAAGTAGTTAGATAACAGAACATTCAGGTAGTTTAAATCTTGTTTTCTGTTCATGGTTGTCAGTTAGTGATGTTTGGGATGGTCATGAGGCCTTGTTCATATAATTAGTTCTTTGTGCTTTCCTTCACATCACATGCACACTGTGAAAGTTGGTCCTTGTTTGTATTGTTAATTTACCATTACCATAGTTTGTGGAAAAAAAAAAAGGTTCATGTTTCATGGGGTTGCCGCTTTAGTGAGTGATAGATTTATACAATTCAAAAATCATGATTTTACAGAACTGTACCGAAATTTCACTGTGCAAATTGAATGATTTGAATAGGAAAGCATATTTTTTTTATGGGTACAAATTTTAATTGAAAAAAAAAAAAATGTGCATTCATATCTACTTGGTACTAGCACATAAACTCAAAATTTCAAAAACCAGCATATGTACTTGTGTGTGCCGGGAGTGTGTTAATTAGTGTTACCTTAGGAGCAACAACGATGTAGCCATGGGAAGCTATGTGTTCGAAGAGGCTGGTGTAATTCGTGTTGGCGACCATGAAGCCGTGACAAAAGAGCAACACTGGATAAGTTCCCTTTTGGACAGGTGAAACTATTACAAGTTCAGTAGGTGGTTTTGAGGCATTTGAAGGTTCAACTGTGAAAGTTTTCACTTTATAATTTCCCATTTCGAAAACTTCAGAGGGAGCAGACACTGTAATTTTAGCTTCCAGTGTTGCCATTTTTTCTTTATTTATTTATTTATTTTTCTTTCTTTCCTTCTCCCTCTTAAGTTGTTTTTGTGTGCATCAAGTGTTCATGCTGCTGCTGCTGCTCTTATAGAAAAACCATTGGTAGAGAAAGTCCCGCATTTTAATCATGTTAGGACCATAAATTGGAGAATGCACATGCAACTAGTGAATTGTCTTTGTTAGTCGTACAGCAGTACAATTTTCTTTTTTGTACCAACGGTAGTATTATATATTACCATTTACCAAAACTGAAATATTAAAAAGTTGGATACAGTCAGAACTGAAATAAATTCAATTAGCCTATTAGAGCTTTGGACACACTGAATGAATACAGTTAGAATTGAAATAAATTCAATTAGCCTATTACAGCTTCTCCAACCCTGCTCTAGAAATGTGTTATATTTTTTTCATTACTATGAAGATGTGATCAATATTGCGCTACATGTAGTTCGGTACTATTCAAAGTGCTACAAGTTTTTTTCTTTTTTACTTGATTTTTATTTATAAATATTATTTTTATAAAATATACATCAATAAAATTATTTATTTTAATTTATAGTTATATTTAAATTTTATATTGTACTAGTATATTTCATTTATAGTAAAATGCAGTGCGAACCATGAAAAGTAAATTTTGACACTCTATGCTATAAAGTAGAATAAATTTTACACTATAGACTGTAGTTGTTTCATTTGGTCAGATTTATTTGAACTCTTTCATTAGTCAATTTATGTTTTGGTTGTAGTTTCAAATGTGAGTCATTGGCATGCACATCTTCTTCAAGTTTAGATTGGGTGGCTGGCTGATACTTGTGATTGTTCTCAGTTTTTTTTCATGATTTTTGCTTCTCTGGTGGAGTTTATTAGAACGATTGTGCGTGTAGTTAAGAAAATTATCATTTTAATAATTTGTGTATAAAATAAGGGTGTTATTTTAAATAATTATTTTTGTTATTTTTTAGTTATTAGTTATATATTTAATTTTTTATCATTCTACTATATGAATATATATTTCTTCACTTCTTTATTTTGATACAAATATTTAATTTTCATGCGCCCGTGATATTCACGGGCGTTATTAACTATCGAATAAATTAATTAATCTATTTAATTTTTACAAAATAAATATATATTAAATAAATAAGTAATACTTCATAGAAATATTTTATATTATTCAAAATAATATTAAAAAAATATTTTCTTATTAATGTTTTAGAGTTTTAATTCACGACAAGAATTTTTTTTTTTACCTTTTCTCGGACAATTAATTTTTTTATAAAAAACCACACGGGCGTTGTCCTGATAATTATTATAACCAATAATTTTGTTCGGATAGTTACAAATTTAGTCCACGCGGATGAGTAGTGTTGTTGAAATGGAAAATATGTAATAATTATTACATTTGATTTTTCTATGGTTGTTAATAGTTTTGATTTTTTACTTTTTAAAGGATTTCCTTATTTGTTCCACTTATTTTGGTTTTTGAAAAAAAAAAAATATATTTTGGTTCAGTAAAAAATGATTGATAGAATTTAGAAGCGCCCTATTTATTAATAAAAAAGTAGAGATGCTGAGCTTACGTGTTAGTCATAAAATAATTTTAGTTAAATTACATTAATAAAAAAATAAATTTATGAATTTTATAAAATAATATTGACATTTATTAAAAGTTTCTCATTATACCTAAAAAAGAGTAATTATGTCACATATATATATGTGTGAAATAATAATAAAAAATCTACCATGATAATACGTATTATATAGTAACCTATCGTTCTTGAAAAAANTTATATAGTAAAAAAAAAAAAAAGTAACTTTATTTTATATTTATTTTGATTGCCACAACAAGAAATAAATATCTTAATTACACTAATATAAATAACCTACAAGCTACCAATCGCGTTAAACGGTTTTGGGTAAAAAAAAAAACCTTAATTTTAAATGGACCGACCTGGAAATAAAAGGACGTAATTATATTGTGTGTTTTGGTGCAAAGAGAAAAAACCGGATTGAATTGAAAAAGATATATAATAGTTAATTAATCACTAAACCTTGAGGGGTTAGGGAAAGAGTAGAAAACCCTCCTCGTTAGGATTAGGATTAGGATTAGAGGAAAGAAGACATGCATTTACTATAAATATAAATCAGTGTTTTGCAAAAGAGATTGAGTAATTAAATCATACAGAATTACAGATAAATATATAGAAATATATAGGGTGAGCTAGGTGATCATCTATCAATCATGGCGGTTTGTGCTGGTGCCTACAATCTCCTTCACAACCACAACCAGTTGATGTGCGGCGGCAAGCAAAGGGAATATTGGATTAGGGGCCCTCTGTTAGGAGAAGGGAGCTATGGCCGTGTTTACAAGGCCACTCTCATTAACTCATCATCATCCTTCATAGCCGTGAAAACATCTCTTTCAGAAACACTCCGCAAAGAGTTTGAGATTTTGGTTCGTCTCTACGACTGCCCTCATGTGATCCGGTGCCTCGGCTACCACACCACACAAGAATATTACGACGGCCGCTTTTTGGTTTCTAATAATCTGCTTTTGGAGTATGCATCCGGTGGGACTCTGCTCGACAGGATTGAGAAATCGGGAGGCCGATTGCCCGAAATGGAAGTGAGGGCCCACACCAAGTCCATCCTCAGAGGTCTCCGTCACATTCACGGCCTCGGTTTTGTGCACTGCGATTTGAAGCCCGAAAATGTGCTGCTCGTGGCCGAAAACGACGGAAACTTGACGGCCAAAATAAGTGATTTTGGGCTTTCGAAAGAGAGGAGGACGGTACCTTATGTGTGTGGTACGCGTGCGTATTTGTCGCCTGAGGCCGAGTTGTACGGGACGCAAGAGGAGCCTTCTGATGTGTGGGCTCTCGGTTGTGTCGTGCTCGAGATGTTGGTGGGCCCGGATAATGCGTGGGGAGGGGCAAAAGAGGAAATTCTTGCGTTGATTATTGGCCGAAAGATGATTTCAGAGGATGCAGGGGATTTTCTCAAGTGTTGTTTCACGAGTGATCCGGATCGAAGGCCCACTGCCGAATCCCTCTTGCTGCATTCCTTTGTCGACGACTACGCCAAACATCTGTTTTCGTCGGCTAACGCAAGTGTTGAAGATGCTGAATATGGGTTTAGTTTCCATTTCGATTTTGATGATGACAATTAAATTCGTTCATCACTAGCAGCTACCTTCTGTAATGTGTATACTCTCTCATGTATCAAGTAAAAAATTTAATTACTGCTACGTACTCTCAAGTTTAATTTTGTGAATGGTCTCTCAATGTCGCATGCATGCGGACAAACCTAGCTAGTATAGGAATTAATTAACATATATTTGAAACCACCAAGTGATGGATGTAGAAATCTCGTTTTTAGTTTCCAATTCCTTTACTTTCTAAACAGAACTTCTGAATTTAATGCGAAGGTCCACGACTTTGATCTGCTAGCTATTTGATTGAGGAAGTTGGTTAAAGAGTCCTGTGTGTTTGGTTTGATGGAAATAAGGCGGCTGCTTGTGTTTTTTCATCTGTTTTAATTTTTTGTAGTGTACTAGTTATTCGTTAGTTGCTGGAGTACATTTTCAATATTTAAAAGCCATTAATGGATGAGTTATATATGGGTTTTCTTAACAAATAAACTAGTACAGAGCCCGTGCGATGCACGAGGTGTACAATTTTAAGGCTATTTATCCAGACTTATAATTATATACATGAATAAAGAAAAATGTACGGAATATATATAGTACGTGACCCGCGAGATATATTTATTTGGAGAATATTATATTATAAGATGCAATATTCAATAAAAGTTTATAATACGCAAGAAATTGTACGATGTTCAATAAAATTTTATAATATTCAAGTGGAGTCTTAAAGTCTCTTGTACATTAAGATTACTGACAAAATAATATTTTAATCAATGAGTTTCATTTCTTTGTAACCAAATTGTGAATGTGATTTGAGGAGTACAACAAATCGATATACAGCTGACTTGTTTTTTTCATTGTAGTTTTTTTTTCTTTTTTTTTTTATAATGAATTTAAAGATATTCTAAAATATAGCAAAAATTAATTTTTTAATTACAATTAAGAATTTTACTAAATATAAACTCTCAATCTATGGTGTTAATCAACGTTTAAGTCTAAAAAATTAGGAATTTTTACCTCTTTTAATTAACGTTTAAGTCTAAAAAACAATAGAGTTGTTATAAGTTTTTTTTCTACATCTTTTAAAACATTAAATATGAGCATGTTAGGGCTAGCTTGTAAAATAATTAATATATTATCTCACTAAAACATTTATACTAATAAAAATTTAATTTTAGCATATAAATTTATCCCTTGATATAAGAGAAAGTAACAGTTTTACTTATTGTTGTTCACCATGTAATATTTAATTATTATTTTATTATATAATAAAAAAGAAATATCGTTAAATAGTGTAGTAGAATTGTTATAAAATTATATGATTTTTTTTTACAATATGGATTTAATATTTTTTTATGATTTGATAATATAAACAAACCTATACTTAACTTTGACAAATAAAACAAATAAATACTTTAGTAAGTATTTAATGTATATACTAAATAGGAATATATTTGGTATAATCAAATACCAAATATAATCAAATAAGTCAAAGTGTACATTTTTATTTGGTATTTAATTTTTTTATTATTAAAATCATTTTATTATACTTACCTTTTTAAAATAAAACAAATAAATAAATTAATTAAATAAATAAAATATTATAATACCAAAATAGTAATGACATTTAATGCAGTTTGACTTTTCTGGATAATAAATGTAGTAAATAGAATATCCTTTTATATAATATAATACGGAAATAGTAATGCAATAAATGTTGTTGACTTTTCTGACTACTTAATTTAGTAAATAGTACCCCCTTTAATATAAGTATAGATTAGTTACCTCTAATTTTGTAACTAAGACCTTCAAAACTAATGAATATTTTCTACAACTATACATTATTCACACGAAAAATTGACGTTCTTAATTCGAATTTTGTCATCTATATATTTCTATATCTATATTTATACTAGTATTCGACCATGTGCATTTGCACAGTGTAAATAGAATATTATAAGTTATATTTATGCTAGTATTAAAATTATAAGTTACACAATGATATTATATTTTAAACATAAAGTATTATAAGTTATATTTATGCATATAATAATAAAAATATAAATAAGATAATGATATTATGTTTTAAAATTTGATCATTGGTTAAAATAAATAGTACATAACTATTTGATTGCATATGAACCACTATATTAATTACATAAAATATAATAAATAATGTAATTTTGAGAGATCGCCAATTTATTAGCTTAAAAATATTAAATTTATTATAACATTTGATTATGCGATTTTAAGGAATTTTACTATAACATTAAAATAAATTAACTTATTTAAAAATACAATCGCTAAATAAGATAAAAAAAATATAATATTAATTTTAGAATAAATAACTTTAGCAAAAAGTTTACAATATTTTTTTATGTTTATGTAATTTTCATATATCATTTAGTGTAAACTATAGTTATTAGTTTTAATAACAACTATTGTATGATATAATAAAATAATATAGTTATTACTCTATTAATATAAAATGTAACGTTTTGTTTTAATTAACCATAAAAAAGTGCAATAAAATATTTTAGCATTAATTAGATATGATGGATTAATAATAATAATAGAAGATTGTAACATAAAAAGATGGTAAACAATAATTAATATTGTTAAATTTATTGTTGGTAATTAAATATAGAGAGAGATATAAATGATAAAGAGTGTAACGGTTTTTGGAGGGAAATCAAAATAATTTTTATTAAATGTTTTATTAAATGCTATTAGCCAACAATTATATATACTAGTAATCAACTTGTGCATTTGCACAGAGACGAATACTTTAAAAATATAAATATATAAAAAAACAAAAACAAATCGTAATTTAATTCATGAAAAAAAATATGAATTAAGAAAATAATTCTCAAAATTGATTTTGATCAAGTAATTGCTATGGAAGAGCCTTTACAACCATTTTCTTTATGCTAATACATCTGGCCATTTTAATGAGTGGGTGTGACTTAAAATTTGAGTACAATTTTGTAACTCCCTTGATTGGTTTATGCTCATAATTTATGACATTCAAGCAAGTTATTTTGTAACTTAAAAATGAAATTGAATGCTGAAAATTTTGGAGCGAGAATAAAATTTAATGCATGGTAATAAAATTAAATGCTTTGGTGCTCCTCTTTATATATATATATATATATANAATATATAGATAATGGATAAATCCATATTGCTATAATAGCTACAGTTTTGGGCGGGAATTTTTTTGTCTATATTTGACATTTAATTAATATTTATTTATAAACAAATCTTATATATGAAAAAATAATTATTATTTTTATACACTCAATGGCTAATATTCATTAACTATAAATTAATTTAAATAGAATTATTTTGATCGTATACTCAGATATATTTTCAATAAGATCTTGATATTAATTTCATAATAATTTATTGACACAATTAAAAAAATATTATAAAAAATAAATTTGATTAAATATGTTGTCATCTGTGGTTGTAGATATTAATTTAATTACTTATATTCACCAATCAAAAGTGCTTAAAATATATCACAGAATAATCAGAATAACTATGTTTGAATCATACTAACTTAGTTAATAATTTCAAATAAAAATAAAAAAATCTAAAATGTAGTGTAAAGTTAACCATAAAAAGGTAAGTCTCCATTGAATATATTATTTGTATTGATAATAGTATTTAAAATTAAAATAATGTGTTAGTAAAATTAATATTTGATGGTCAGGTAACTATTTATCGCCTACATTTTCCGCATAAATTTGAAAATATTTTTTGTTAAGTCATTTTATATTCATTTGGTAAGTCATTGTTTATTCATACATAATATATTGAATTTTTTTGGCATATCCATGTATAATATATTGGTAGGACCAAGAAAGCATATGTCTTAATAGATTCAGGGTTAATCTTTATTTGATAATATATTAGCATATTCACACATGATATTTCGAACTTACATAAAGATGGTAATATGCTTATTTTTAAATCAAACTAATTTAACTAATAATATTTATTAATAATTCATATATTGGTAAATCATACAAACCTATATTTTCAGATATTCACGCATCATTTATCAGTGATAAATTTGGTATGGTTTCATATATTCATGATTGTGGTTAATTAATATTCATATTCCATTAGTAATATCTACCCCATATACTTGGTTTGACCGTGATTTTGGAAATGATTGTAATGCATATAAGTTAAACATTATTTATTAATTAATATAAACATATTTTCATCTTTATGTGTGATGTGATTACATAACAGTGAATAAGATTAATATTACGATCGAAATGCAAAAGACATATTTTTTACACGTACTCAAGAAAGCTTCAAAAAAATAGCTCCCCTCTTTGTGTCGATCAAAAAATTGACGGACTAATTTCCACAATAGGCGTTATTGAAACTTCGTCTAATTAGGATGTACGAAAAAATTACACCCATGGGAGAAATGTGATTTACTTTATTGAGTGCATTTTTCATGATTCCGATATGCGTTTGTTGTCAAATATTAGTTTATATAATGTTCTATGACGTATGACGAAGTCCTGAGACAATGTCGGAAGTATGTGAACCTGGAGGAGACAAAAGTTGAGTTCTCGAAGTTCGAGCAGACAACCCAGATAAGAAGGATAGAGCGAGTTCGCCAAGGCGAGAGAGACCAACTGCTAGAAAGGAGGATCTAAAGGAGGATAAGTGGCAGGAGAGACCGCTCAGAAATGGTCGCAAATACGGGAAGTATACGCCGTTGAGGGCCCACATGGCGGAGGTTCTTCTGGTGATCGAGCAAAGGATTGATGACCGGGTTTTGACATGGCCCAGGTCTAGGAGAGAAGGGCCCACTCAGCCGAAGCCTGGTCGATATTGTAGGTTTCATCTGGACTATAGTCACACAACAGATGGATGTCGACATTTGAAGGACGAGATTGATAGGCTCATTAGGGCCGAACACTTGAAAGAATTTGTGTACAAGGACAGGGAGAGAAGGAGGGAGAAAAGGAGATGCCGGGAAGATACAAAGAGCACTAATAGGGATGATGATGAGGATGACAAGAAAGAGGACGAAAATCAAGGTTCTCGCAAGTTTTGTTTTGTTTTGTTTTTTTTTTCTTCTTTATTGTTTCTTTCAGTGGAAAATTGAAAAATTGGAGGGTCGCTGATACCGTAATGGGTATAGCAAGACTTTCTTCTCATCACAACTGTCTGCGCTTGAATTTGCAGAAAAAAAAATCGGTGCCGGTGTATTTTTTGGAAAAAAAGGGTTGCCGAAAAAAGTCATCGGTTCTATAGATGGAGGATGTCGTTGATGCGATGTGGCCCGAGGAGTCCGGAAGTGTCCTCGGATTTCAATGTGTGAATTGCCGGGAAATTGAAGAAGATGAATGGATTTTGACCAGATATTCTAGATCCAAGAACTTTGACCGGAGCAATTGACGGTTTTACCGGTGAAATTTATTCCTGAAATTTTAAAAGGTGAACGAGTACGGGAGGAGATTCAAGAAGATGTAAAAACAAATTATGATCGAAGGTGGCCGGCCGACGACCGGCGAACGATCGCAGCGATTGCCGGCCGAGGCGAATGGATGTAGAAGAGTTGAAATAGAGTTAGGATTGTAGGAGCTCGTTTTCGATAATTTAATAAATTATGGAGTATTTTGCAATTTTTTTTAAGTCAGTGCTTCCTAATCACGCCATATAAATCACAATCACGCCATATCAGAATAAAAATGCCACGTCACGCCACATCACGTTTTTATCCAGGGTGCGGATAAAAAGGGACCAACATTGATTAAATTGTCAAATTACTAGACCCAAATTGAAAGTGGACAATGATGGGGTGGTTTTTGAACAGTGGTCAAATTATATGACCAATTTTGAAATGTTGTCTGATAATTTAGTTAAATTGCATTAATAAAACAATATATTTAAGAATTTTATAAAATGATATAGACATTTATAAGAATTTTTGCATTATACACTAAAAAAGAGTAATTATGTCACGTGTGAAATAATAACAAAATCGACTATGATAGTAAATTATTAAATAATATAAGTAGTTTGAGGGAAAGAGAACTTAATTTAAATGGACCGACCTGGAAATAAAAGGACCTAATTATATTGCGTGTTTTGGGGCAAAGAGAAAAAACCGGATTGAATTGGAAAAGATATATTAGTTAATTATTTACTAAACCTTGAGGGGTTAGGGAAAGAATAGAAAACCCTCCTCGTTAGGATTAGGATTAGGATTAGAGGAAAGAAGACATTTACTATAAATATAAATCAGTGTTTTGAGAAAGATATTGAGTAATTAATTCATACAGAATTACAGATACAGTAAATAAACAGTTGAAATAGAAATAGAAATATATAGATTGAGCTAGGTGATCATCATCTATATCTATCTATCATGGCGGTTTGTGCTGGTGCCTACAATCTCCTTCACAACCACAACCAGTTGATGTGCGGCGGAAAGCAAAGGGAATACGGAGAAGGGGTTGATTGGATTAGGGGCCCTCTGTTAGGAGAAGGGAGCTATGGCCGTGTTTACAAGGCCACTCTCATTAACTCATCATCATCCTTCATAGCCGTGAAAACATCTCTTTCAGAAACACTCCGCAAAGAGTTTGAGATTTTGGTTCGCCTCTACGACTGCCCTCACGTGATCCGGTGCCTCGGCTACCACACGACACAAGAATATTACGACGGCCGCTTTTTGGTTTCTAATAATCTGCTTTTGGAGTATGCATCCGGTGGGACTCTGCTCGACAGGATTGAGAAATCGGGAGGCCGATTGCCCGAAATGGAAGTGAGGGCCCACACAAAGTCCATCCTGAGAGGTCTCCGTCACATTCACGGTCTCGGTTTAGTGCACTGTGATTTGAAGCCCGAAAACGTGCTGCTCGTGGCCGAAAACGACGGAAACTTGACGGCCAAAATAAGTGATTTTGGGCTTTCGAAAGAGAGGGGGACGATACCTTATGTTTGTGGTACGCGTGCGTATTTGTCGCCTGAGGCCGAGTTGTACGGGACGCAGGAGGAGCCTTCTGATGTGTGGGCCCTCGGTTGTGTCGTGCTCGAGATGTTGGTGGGGCCGGATAATGCGTGGGGAGGGGCAAAAGAGGAAATTCTTGCGTTGATTATTGGCCGAAAGATGATTTCAGAGGATGCAGGGGATTTTCTCAAGTGTTGTTTCACGAGTGATCCGGATCGAAGGCCCACTGCCAAATCCCTCTTGCTGCATTCCTTTGTTGACGACTACGCCAAACATCTGTTTTCGTCGGCTAACGCAAGCGTTGAAGATGCTGAATATGGGTTTAGTTTCCATTTCGATTTTGATGATGACAATTAAATTCATTCATCACTAGCAGCTACCTTCTGTAATGTGTATACTCTCTCATGTATCAAGTAGAAAATTTAATTACTGCTACGTACTCTCAAGTTTAATTTTGTGAATGGTCTCTCAACGTCGCATGCATGCGGACAAACCTAGTATAGTAATTAATTAACATATATTTGAAACCACCAAGTGATGGATGTATAAATTAATCTGGAATTTATTTTCCAATTCCTATACTTTCTAAACAAAACTTCTGAATTTAATGCCAAGGTCCACGACTTTGATCTGCTAGCTATTTAATTGAGGAAATTTGTGAAAGAGTCAGTGTGTGTGGTTTGATGGAAATAACGCTGCTTCTTGTCTTTTTTCATCCGTTTTAATTTTGGAAAATGATACATGTACATAATAAATATACATAGGTGTACATAACACTCACATGGAGTTGGTCTATTTGATTTTTTATTTTTGGTAGGTCCCAATCAATGTGAGTGTTATGTACACCCTTATGTACAATATTATTATGTACATATAGCATTTCCCTTTAATTTTTTGTAGTGTACTAGTTATTAGTTAGTTGATGGTGTACATTTTAAATATTTAAAAGCAATTAATGGATGAGTTACGGGTTTTCTTAACAAATAAATTAGTTACCTCTTTTTGTAAGAAAGACCTTCAAAACTAATGAATTAATTGCTTTCAAGTGAATCGTCATCAATTGATTACCAAAAATAACTTTAAGAAAATGAATATTTTCTACAACGATACATTCTATATTCGCACGACAAATTGATGTTCGTAATTTGAATTTTGTCATAGGATTAATGGAAGTAACCACATCATTTGGACTCTCGTATTTTAAATTACAAGACATATATGCTGGATCTGCACTGCATAATCATATTACTGATCCTAAGCTCCGCCTCCACACGCTCTCACTCCTCCGCCCCAGAAACAAACCCAAGCAGAATCTCAACTCCACGCCCACCAACTGGAACACCACCACACCTTCGTCCTCTCCAACCCCATTCTCCTCCTCCTCGAGACCAAATGCCGATCCATGCCCCACCTCATGCAGATCCACGCCCGCATGACCGTCGCCGGACTCTCCTCCGACCCGCTCGCCCACAGCCGCCTCGTCGCTTTCTGTGCCCTCTCCCCCACCGGCGATCTCGATTACTCCAAAAGACTGTTGATTTCAACCATCAACCACAACGCGTTTTCATGGAACATTGTCATTAGAGCCGCCTGCGACGGCCATAATCCGGCCGAAACTTTTCTCCTCTACAAACAGATGTTGGGTGTTGGTAATTTCGGATCTAGACCCGATAACTACACTTACCCTTTACTCTTCAAGACCTGCGCCAGGCTGTTGCTTTTCGATGTGGGTCGTCAGGTTCTCGTCCATGTACTCAGACTGGGCTTCGAACGCGATTTATTCGTGCGTAATTCCTAAAAAATAAAGGGAAGAGAACATGATAAATCTCGTTTGGTTAAAAAATAAAGGATGGTAAAATAATATGAAATTGACATTTATATCCTAATGATATGAAAAATAAAAAAAAATATAAAATAGTGTACATTCGTACAGTACACGGTCTAATTAAATAGTTTTATATTATCTTGTAATTTATTCATTTATTTGTTTATCCATCATTAATGAAGATTGGATATTATATATCAATGACCCAAGCCAAGAGATCTAAAACTATTAATTTCAAACTTTAGTTTATATTTGTTTGAGACTCGAAAAATGAGTTAATTATATAATTCAAGATTTGAATAATAAAATTTGGCTTAATTGCATATAAAACCCTCACCTTTTGTATAATTGCAAGTAAAACTCAACTTTTTTATTTTTGCAAATAAATACAAAATTTTATTATGTGTTGCATACTTGACTCAAAATCATTTTTCGGCCAATCCTTGTTGACGTGTCCGATCAGAAATCTTACGTGACACTGATCAAGCTTGTGTGGCACTCAACCTTTTCAACTCTTCATCATGTTTTTGCCACATCATATGCCAACAAATTAACCAAAAATAGAGTTTTGTACCAATTGAAAAAATAGAATTTTATCACCATGTTTTTTGCTTCATAATCTTCATAGAGTTCTTTTCCCCAATTGGAAAAAAAAAATTAAAAAATTGCAGCGATTCTTCTCATCTTCATGGCACCCCCAAAAATTGAGTTCACCTCCAACATTCCGAATACATTTACGAGCTTATCCCCAAATTCTGAAAAATTGGGTAGAGGAGGCAATTTTCGGGTGATTTTCAGGTCATTTTAGTGTTCGGTGAAGCATAGAAACGAGAGGCTTGGCGGTTTTGTGACTTTCGTTAATGGAGAACGGGTAAATTTTAATTATATTTTGCATTTTTAGGATTTTAATTGTGAAGGGGTTCAAATTTAGGGTTCTTGGATTTGTGGAATTTTTCTTAGAGTTTTAAAGGTTGAGTGACACACACACCTCATCAGTGCCACGTAAGATTTTTAATCGGACACGTCATCAAGGATTGGCCGGAAAATGGATTTGGGAGTTGAGACAAATTTGCAACACATAATAAATGTTTGATATTTAGTTGCAAAGATAAAAATATTGAGTTTTATTTGCAATTACACAAAATGTGAGGATTTTACCTAAAACTTTATCCAGAATTTAAATTGAGCCGGTGGACCCGGGTCAATTCACGGGTATGGTTTTTTAAAACTATGGTTCTTGCCCTTTTCCATTTCCCGTCCAAGTTGAAAGAACAATTCATGACAAAGGGCAGAACTCCAGCTCTATTCAGCGCCAGTGTACAAAACACAAAACAAGAGTCCTGCTGTTCTCATTCTATCTGCATCAGATACAAATGGGAGGTAAAGCTCCACTCTAACTCCGTCTTTCGTTTTTTTTTTGTTTTTGTCAGAATTTCAAGGTTTTCTTTTCGCCTTTTCTGAACTCTTTATTGGAGTTAATTTTTCAGGTGGTGAAGCGGGCTGCACGAGTTCAAATCTATGGCTTGCTCAAGACCCCAGCAAAAGATGGGGTGAAATATTTTTCCTTCTATGCACTCCCTTTTGGCTCACTCTTTGTCTCAGAATTGTTGTTCCTTACAAACTTTATGAGGTACTTTATTCTCTTATGGTTTTACCTTTTCTCCAGGATTTTCTGTAATGATTATTTCGTTCGTTTCTTTATNAGAGTAAATTCTTTAGAAATTGAAATGGGACTTCGTTTTGGGGATAGTTGTCTGCCACAAAATATAGGAACAAATTATTGCGTGGCACTATTTCTTGGCCTGCTCGTTTCTGTTTTAGAAAAAATGACAGTATGAAAAAGATATGATGGTCGTTTCTGATTGCAAATGGAGCTGGAAGAGTCATTGTTGACAATACTCCTGGCATAGTGCTAATAATGGACTAGATCAAAATGGCTTAATTAAATTCTAGTGCTTCTTCTATTAGTGAAGTTTCTAGAAAAAAAAAAATATCAAACGGCGCAATGCACCTTGGGTCGCTACGGAAACAGCCTCCTTGTATAATTACAAGGGTAAGGTCTGCGTACAACTGACCCCTCAGACCCCAACCTGTTGGGAATATACTGGGTATGTTGTTGTTGTTGTTGTTGTTGGTATTTAGAAAAATTTGTGATTGTAACAGGTGATGTGATGGTGTTATTAGTGTTTTGACGATTAGTTGGTATTGATGGTTCATAAGGAAAGAGAGGCTGAATAGCATCTTATGATGTGAAAGTGTATTGGATTGATTTGATGTGATATTCTTTTTCGTTTAAGTTACAACTGGCTGTGATTGATTATTGAAGAAAATGAGATTGTGAATTTTCAAAAGAAATCAATGAGCAAGCACATTCTTTGTTTCCTCCGAAGTCACAAAGTGGGGTGGATCTTCCCCAAAAGGGGAAAAGAAGTATATTGAATTTCAAAAATGTAATTAAGTAATTATCATGCTTCTCAAAAGTTTGAAATAGCATTTTATTTCTAGCATTATTGGTCTTGCTTTGCCAATTAAGGAATGGTTGAAATTCTTATAAATCTGATTACATCTTTGATTGATTTAATATGCTGTTTTGCTGCAATATTCAATAAATTTGTGAGCAAACCACTCTGATTATAATGAGATCATGATTTGTGTAATACGTATTGGAGGCTGAGTTTCTAGTTGATGTCAAAGGTGCATTATTTTTTTAGTGAACTTTTTTGCAAATAAGTTCTATTATTGTTGTGCTTGGTTTCACTTATTCCGAAGGGCTTTCCAATATTGAAAAGCCTTGGTGGTTTTTCTATTTGGGGTTGGCATGGTTTCCTATTTTAGTTGTTGCATTCCAGGCTGTGTATTTGAATCTGAAATGGAACTTCTCTCTCTCTCTCTCTCTGTCTCTCTCTATCTCTCTCTCTCTCTCTCTCTCTCTCATCTAATTGGTTTATCACATTGATATCACTTGATTTCAGCTTCCATGCATCCAAGTGCAAATGTTTGATGTATACATTTTGTGTGTCATTTTCCAAACACATTGATGTTTGTCTTCAGAAACTTGTTTACGTAGTTGCTATGTTGTTTGATACACTATCTTTTTCATCTTTCCTTTATTTTTCACTTTCTTTTATGTTCTTTTTTTTTTTCTCCTTCAGAGTTTCACAGAGTGGGAATACCTGATTGTGGGACTTATTTCAGCACTGCCTGCTTTCATTATACCTATAATTTTTTGTTGGAAAGGTAACATTGTGGGTATTTTCTCAAGGTTTAATCGAATTCATGTTTTAATGGCACTGGATTCGTGTTTTAATGGCACAAAATGCTCAAAATATGTTTTAAGGGGCTTGTCGGCCAGCACATGGAAAGTTATTACAGCCTTTTCTTTCATGTTGCTAGTGTTGTAATAATTATTTTTCTTTTCCTAAATTTTCCTAGGCGGATAGCAGCAAATGTTGGAAGGATCGTTATTGGATAAAAGTGAGTATTGGTTTTGCTCTTCTTTTCTTTTCTCTTCCCTTTCTCTTTACATTGTATCCCGCTTTAATTTAATATTGCGCACGATGTATAAACAGAGATAAACAAGTGCACTTTGTACCCAAAAATTGATGCATATGATTTAATTCAAAGTCTTCATGTCAGCTTTTGGTTTGTCTAATTAATAACCTTTTAGCTGAAAATTTTATCTTCAGCCACACAATTCACGATTGTCTGTAACTGGGGAAATTGTTGTTCTGCCAGGCTAATCTGTGGATCATGCTTTTCAGTTACGTGGGGAATTACTTCTGGACTCATTATTTTCTCTGTCTTGGGCGCCTCGTATACTTTCCCATCATGGAAAATGAATAACGTGAGCCCACGACTTTTAAAATTTTTTCCCATGCCGAAGTTTCTGTTTTTTTTTTAGTTGATAATTATTTAAAAGCAAATTATCAATGTGCAGGTACCACACACGACTTTCCTTCTCACACACGTGTGCTTCTTGTTTTACCATGTCACATCAAATATGACACTTTGAAGGATTCAGCATTATACGGCCCACTGGCCGGAGAACCTGCAGTGGGGTTTCAAAGCCAACTGGATTTTAGGCCTTTCATACTTCATAGCATATCTAGAGACTGTAGCTATTTCCAATGTGAGTAAAGAAGAAACAAAAAGGAAAAGGGAGTTTATGAATATATGTCTATGTGTTATGGCTTTCCTACATTATCTTCTTCTTCCCGTATTTTTACTATGTGCAGTTTCCTTATTACGAATTTGTGGACTGAGCCTCCATGTACAAATATGGCTCCTTGTTCTATGCCATTTACTTTGTCATTAGCTTCCCTATGTTCTTTAGGTAAGTTTTTTCTCCATGTATGTGAGTATATTTTTGTGTCCTTTTTTTTTTTTTAACGAGCTTTTATATTTGACGGTCAGGATTGACGAGAAACCTGGTGATTGGTGGGACCTGCCTAGGGTGGCCATTGATGCTTTAGGTGCTGCAATGTTAGTGACTATAATCCTCGACTTATGGCGTGTTTTTCTTGGCCCGATTATACAAATTGCAGATTCAAAACAGTGTCTTCAACCGAGACTGCCTTGGTTCCCGGGGAATGCCTAAAGTGGGACCCATTGGGATAAAGCAAGCAAGAGAAAGTTCATTCAATTTATACTGGTCTGGGCATCTTTTTTAGCTACTCCTTGTAACTATGAATATATTTGGTCTTTTGTGCAGGCTGATTTTTTTAGCAGGATTTGAGTTGCCATGTTGTTTGTTCAGTATCTTTGCTCGCATGTTTTCAAGTGTAGACTGTAGAATGATGATGGATTCCAACTAATCTGAGTTTTCCTTTTAATTTAATAGTGATTTGATTCATGGGTTGTTGTTAATTCTCGTCTATTAATGTTGTACTCTCTTTTTTATTTTATCTAGTGTTCGATCATGTGCACATGCACAAATGAAAATAAAATTTTATGCGTTATATGTGTTTATGTAACATTTAAAATCATAAGTTAGATAATGAGCATATTACATTTTTTAAATTTTATCATTAGCAAAAATGAACGATATAAATATATATTATGTAACTTACATAATGCAATCTTGTCTTGTTATGATCAATTAACTGGATAATGAGTTGAAAAATAAAAAATACTAATTTTAAATAAATATTCGAAAAAAAAGCTTTAAAATAGTATAACATTTAATGTGACAATATGATTAGTTAATATTAGCAATTATAAAATAAAATAAATAAAAGATGTAATTGCTTGTTTAATGCAAAAGTAGCGGAAAAATGCTAGAAAACAAAAAGAATTTTATTAAATTATTTGCTAGAAATTATATATATACATATAATGTGACTTTATGATTAGTTAATAGTACTAATTATATAATAAAATAAATAAAACATATAACTGATTGTTTAATGCAAAAATAACAGAAAAGTACGGGAAAAAAAAAGAGTTTTATTAAATTCTTTGCTAGCAATTATATATATATATATATATATATATATATAGAGAGAGAGAGAGAGAGAGAGAGAGAGAGAGAGAGGAGAGTGATAAGTCGTATTCTTGGCATGTTAATTGTCATGTTTTCCATACTTTTCCGGTGTTTATTTGAGCTTATTTATTGATTTTAATTGTTTTTTATATTTTTGTAGGATATCTCGAACTTTGTGATTTTATGATGATTGAAGGGCGAAAGAGACGAATTTGAGCTAAGGCGTGGGCACGCTAATTTCCTACAAGAGTTAGAAGAAGGAAGGAGTCTTGAGTTGGAAAGAGAAATAAAAGACTTTATGAGATTTATTTATTTATAGACTATTTTAATTTATTAGGATATTTTTGGAGAGAGAAGATTATTTTCTACGTATTTCTTTTGGGATTAGGATTAGACTGATAATAAATCAGACTGCTAGGTATTATTTTTCTCTCTCTTCTCTTCCTCTCTCCATTGAGTTCACGTTTTATTTTTTATCTGTTCGGCCGATCTGTTCTGCTTTGCGATCTGCTTGGGACGACACAGACAGAAGTTCTTCTACAGTTTATTTTATTTCTACTGTCTTCATTTATTTTTAGATGAATATTATGGAGAAGACTACCATGTTTATGGATAGCTAAATTATTTTTCCAGCCAAAGGATTATTCATGATTTGGTTCTACATGATTTGTGAGATCTAATTGTGTTTTCAATTCCCTATTCTCATTTATTCGTATGTCTCTTGTGTTTATTACCAATTGTTATTTTGATTGATTGATGCAAAAGAGCTCTTGTTCAATTATCAGAATAGCATATCGCCATTTAGGACATTAAATCCGTAATTGTTTGATTGTTCTAATATTGGTGGCGAAGAACATAGTTGATTACTAAGGGTTTTCGATTTTATGTTTAGGGAGATTTATGATCTAGTCTAAATGATCCTACATGTGTGTTTGTTGGCTAGAATTGGTGATCCTTCTAGTTTTAATGCTGTTGATAGATTAAATCCTATGATCGTATCTAGGACTGTCTGTTGATTGGAGAAATAATTAGAGATCGTATCCTGATTATCGAACAAGTGAGGAAGGATAGGTTATTAGGTCGTACCAATAACCATAACCAGTTTAATTGAGAGTAGGAGAATTATCTTTGCATCTATGATCGAATCATTGAACCATTTCTACGAATTTTTCCTTTGGTTGGATATTTTATCTCTGTGATTTACTCTAGTTAAATCTTGAATCTTTCATCTCCGTGTTTATTTTAATTGAATTTAATTTTTATTATTTTAGGTAGTTCGATCAATCCAAAACCCCCCATCTTTTTATTTATTTGTTATTCCTTCACGAAATAGTTGCATCAACTCATTTCATCCAATCTCTGTGGATACGACCCTACTCATTGCTACTACAATTTTATATTTTAGACGAGTAGGAATTTATTATTGTTGGTTTCGACACCCACCAATTTTTGGCGCCGTTGCCGGGGATTGGAAATTAAAATTGTATTTGTTTTGATGCCACGTTCTTTTCGTGCAGGAAATCTACTTGAGTACAATCCAGAGATCGAGAAAACTGCCAAGCGGTTGCGGAAAGAAGCTAAATTTCTGCGTGCTCAAGAGTCTTCTTCATCCTCACCCGGATTGAATATTGCCCTTGATTTGGAGGATTCTTCTAGTGATTCAGAAGTTGAAAGCGAAACAGAAGTTGAGCCGATTATGGCACAGGGACACCAGACGCTACGAGAATTGACTGCTCCAGACATAGAACAAACTCCATTGTGCATTGAGTACCCAACGATGGAGGCAGATTTTGAGCTCAAGTCCGGTCTCATCCACATACTTCCAAAGTTTCGTGGACTTGAGAATGAGGATCCACATAAACACTTGAAAGAGTTCCATGTGGCGTGTTCAAGTATGAAGCCGCAAGGTGTCACAGAGGAGCAAATCAAACTTCGAGCCTTTCCTTTCTCATTGATCGAGAGAGCTAAAGATTGGCTATTTTACTTGCCTCCTGGATCTGTTACCACGTGGAATGGAATGATACGCCTGTTTCTCGACAAATATTTCCCTGCTTCAAGAGCAGCGAACATTCGGAGGGAGATTTGTTCAATCAAACAAAAGGATGTCGAGACACTCCACGATTACTGGGAACGATTCAAGCAACTTTGCTCATGTTGCCCTCAACATGGGATCTCTGAGCAACTCCTCATTCAATACTTTTATGAGGGTCTATTGCCGATGGAAAGACGGATGATGGATGCCGCAAGCGGAGGAGCCATAGCAAACAAGACGCCTGCTCAAGCGAGAGAATTGATCTCCACCATGGCGGCTAACTCTCAGCAGTTCGGCTCTAGACATGACACCTACCAGAGGAAGGTGAATGAGGTGAATGTGTCGTCGCTTGAAAGTCAAATAGCTAATTTGACTTCAATGGTTCAACAGTTAGCGACTGGTGGCGTGCAACAAGTGAAGGCTTGTGGGATTTGTGCTGATTCCGGACACCCTACTGATATGTGTCCGACACTTCAAGAAGATTTCCCAGAGCAAGCTAATGCGATTGGAGGATTCCCGGGCCCACCACACAGGAAGTATGATCCCTTCTCCAACACTTATAATCCAGGATGGAGGGATCATCCCAATTTTAACTATGCACCGAGACCTCAATTCCAAAACTTCATGCCTAGACCGCCTCCACCTCCACCTCAACCTCAACAACATGCCACGAGTTCTAACTCGTCTCTTGAAGATATAGTTAAGTCACTTGCCTTGAACACTCAACAACTTCAACAAGTAACTCAACAATTTCAACAAGAGACGAGGAGTAGCATAAAAAATCTCGAGGAACGGTTCAACCAGCTCGCCTCTTCTGTGAGCCGCAACGAGTCTCAAGGTAAACTGCCATCACAAACGGTGATCAACCCTAAGCAGAATGCAAGTGCAGTAACCTTGAGAAGTGGAAAGGAGCTGCAAGATGCTAAGAAACCGAGCAAAAGGGGAAATCTCGAAGAAGAAGTTGAAAAAGAAGTTGCACATAATGCTACGCAGGGTCAGAATACGGACCAAGGTAAGTCACTGAAACCCTTAGCTCCTATTCCCCCTTTTCCTTCAAGATTGTCTAAATCAAAGAAGGAAGAGGAGGAAAAAGAGATATTTGATACTTTTCGCAAGGTCGAGGTAAATATTCCTTTACTTGATGCTATTAAACAAATTCCTCGATATGCTAAGTTTTTGAAAGAATTGTGCACAAATAAGAAGAAATTGAAAGGCAATGAATTTGTGAGTATGGGTGAGAATGTTTCTGCTGTTCTTCAGAAAAAATTGCCACCGAAATGCAAAGACCCAGGTATGTTTACTATTCCTTGTAAAATTGGGAGTGTGAGAATGGAAAGAGCAATGTTAGATCTTGGAGCTTCGATTAATGTCATGCCTATGTCTATTTATGCTTCTTTGAATGTTGGGCCTTTGAAAGAGACTGGTGTGATTATTCAACTTGCTGATAGATCTAATGTATATCCTGAGGGTGTGTTAGAGGATGTTTTGGTTCAAGTCAATGAATTGGTATTTCCTGCTGATTTTTATGTGCTTGACATGGAAGAAGATGCATCATCTCATTCATTGATTTTGCTAGGAAGGCCGTTCTTAAAGACTTCTAGGACGAAAATTGATGTATATGATGGGACACTTACTATGGAATTTGATGGTGATATTATTAAATTTAATATTTATAATGCCATGAAATATCCTTGTGAGTCGTCTTCAGTTTTTGTCTTGGATGTTATTGATCCTTTAGCGGAGAAAGTGTTTGAGTTAGGTGATAAAGATGCATTGAACATAGCACTTAGCAAGAACTTTAGGCATAGTCAACCATGTAAACTCATGAAGAAATTTGAACTAGAATTGGACTTGCTTGAAGCTATTCATGATTTGGATTCACTTCCACCTTTGAAACACGTTGTCTCTTTTATTGAGTTGTCTTCTTCTCATGCTAAACTTTTACCTTCTACGATGCAGGCACCACTTTCGGAGTTGAAATCTCTCCCAGATCACTTGAAGTATGCGTACTTGGGAGAAAAGGAGACACTTCCAGTTATCATCTCCAATAAGTTGTCCACTTTGGAGGAAGAGAAGTTGATTCGGGTCCTTAGAAAATTCAAGGAGGCTATTGGGTGGACGATCGCGGATATCAAAGGATTGAACCCCTCCACGTGTACACATAGGATATTGCTTGAAGAAGGGAGTAGTCCTTCTCGACAAGCCCAGCGTCGTCTTAACCCACCTATGATGGAGGTGGTAAAGAAAGAAATTTTGAAGCTTCTCGATGCAGGTATGATCTATCCAATCTCGGATAGTACTTGGGTAAGTCCGGTTCAAGTTGTGCCCAAGAAGACAGGTATTACAGT